TATGTACTGCTAATAGCAAAAACAATCCGATTTTGCACTTGCCCCATGAAAAGGGTCAAGTGTGACGTTTTAAAATTAAAAAAAAAAAAATTATTCTTAGGTGAGTGATGATATAACTTTGTTGACTATAAATTCCAATTATGTATATCTAGAGGTGTTACATTATGGAACAATAACAACTTTAAATTAAAAACAAAAAAAGTATTGTCAAATTCAAAATTAACTTTTCATTTTTGCGTCACACTTACCCCACTTTACCTTACCTACTTGTGTAAACGGAGACAACACATTCGAGTGCGATTCCTCCTGATGAAATACCTCGCTCAGCACAGAATTAGTGGCGTAGCGTGAGTTTCAGTTAAACCTTTGAGTGGAAAATCGTAGGCTAATAAATTCATAAGGGCTGGTTATTTTATTAATTTACATTTATTTTAACAACTACATAAAATCATCAATTAAAAATAAATTAATTCATCAAAATGTTTGAATAAAATAATAAATTGTTTAATATCTAAGTACGCGACCGCTGCAGGCAGAATAATGCAATATACGACGGTAGACCACGGTATTCGTATTAAGATGCTAATTAAAAATCACGGGGCCCTTTAACAAGCGCGGGGCCCTGGACAAATGTCCCATTTGTCCTCCCCTAGCGCCGGCACTGCTTGGGAGTCTTTGATAAAATTTTGGTTCTTTGTTATACGCAAAGAATTTAATTTAATTTAATTTTTATTAAATTGTTTTAAGGAATGCTGCTCTTCAGTTTTTCAGTTCACTCCAAGGGAGATTGATTGGTCAAAATCGTTTAAATAGTGATTGTTGGCTATCTCACTTACCACTAGAACCATTACTATACAATTTTCCACGATTGATGCAACATTTACAATCTTTATGGTCACAAACAAACTGTATACTTTCAAGCCAGGCCCGGTTAATTCCATTCATGTCTCTACTGAAGGGCGTAAAAATACAGTCATGGAGTTTGTTAACATTAGACCATCAACAATTTTTAGAAAGTCTTCGTTGTAATTTGTGGTCTACCGGTTTTGGTCTTGAAATATATACAGTAAGAAATATGGCAGCTCAAGCTTATGCCAACACAATACAAGTTAATGAAATATCATCAACTCTGAATAAAATTAGTTATGAAATAATAAAATATGATGGAGGTATTAATTTTCCAGAATTTAAAGGTTTTAATCATTTACATGGGTTGATGTCAGTGTATAAATATTTAAAAGATGTTTATTATATGGAATTTAACCAAGAGTATAAGGTTTTTAAAATTGCACATGAACATTTACCACCATTATGTAAATCAATATACATATCAATAAACTGCGAAGTAATAGATCCACTTCCTTCAAATTCATCGATTGGCTGCATTCATGTCAAACAATTAATGATACAAAATTACATAGCACAACAAATTGCATCAAACTTTTCAGACTTTTGGGAATTTTATAACAACGCTGATAAGCACACAGTTATAAGTTTTTTCAAATGTCTTAAAGATAGTAATACTAGATATGAAAATGGTTTATATTTAATGAGTAAACTCACTGATTTGCTATGGAAAGTTGACGACAAGGACATATTAAAAGAAATTATTCTGAACATTGAAGTATTTTTATATGCAAGACATGAAGATATTCAACTTCAGTACGAACTTTCTGATGCTCGGTTTTCTGAAATATTACAAATATGTCTATTATGCTCAGAAAAAGATTTTATTGCTATGCTACCAGTTCTCAGTTGGTTATGTCCTAGGAGAGTTTATTCAACCTTATTGCCAATAGTGCTTAAATTCACAGATTGTGATTCTTATGACTCTATTGATAGATGTAGTTCTTCAAAATCTCTATATTATTGCAAATACATAAAGAATGATGGAAGACTGTGGTTTGCAGTTGTTGAGTTATTGCAAGATGAAGACACTAATGTACGAGTTGAGGCAACAAGGTTTGTGAGTCACATTATTGATTCGAATGCTTACTTACTAAATCCTTACATGTGTTTAAAGAAAATGTTTGAGATTGAAATAGTATCTTCTATAATAAACCCAAGGGTTGCATTTACCTGTTTTTGGGACCAGTTATCAGAGATTAAAGTACGCACTAAATTTGATGAAACGATAAATCCATTCTTTAACGAACAGTCAAATGTTTATCAAGAACAATCAAATATCATGAAATTGGCTTTTCAAGGCCTCAAATCTTTGATTAAATTAAATGATAATCTTGATTATTATAAAGAAGAAGTTAGAAAGTGTCTTGCCACTTTAAAAACTGAATGTGAATTTAAACATACATTTATTGATGAGGATTTAATGATTTTAGATACTTATTCGAGTGTACATTACCAGAAATTATATTACAAAAGAGAAATTTTAGTTTTACTGGATTTCAAAAATTATTTAAATATGTTTGTTCCTATACTGGAGTTTATATATTTGCCTATTCACCCCCCCAATGCTTGAGACAATATTAAAATTAGTGTTTGGTAGGTCTCAGGTAATGTTCTGTATAAAGTATTACTTATTAAATTATCTGAACTGTATTAACGCCATAATATACATAAGTACATTTAAATAAATATTATGTTATAATTTTATTCTTGAATTTCTATGTATAGTATTGTAAAAGTTAAATGACAAAGCCTATGTATTTAATATTTCCTAATAGAAAAAAAGAGGATTTATGTATTTAATTCAAAAGTGGTGGGTTTAATATTTATTTACTTCATCATTGTATACTGTTTAGAAGCCTTGAATTGAATGATAATCATTAATCATAATATATTCATATCCATAGACCAGGGGTCACCAACTTATTTCTACGGGGGTCTGTTTTGAAACTTAGCAAACTTCCCCCAGTCCAAAATACATTTAAATACATTTAAATACCCAATGACATTTTTCACAACTAACAACAATCATTCTAAATCGTAATAAAATATACTTTTGAAATTCTTAGATATCGTTTTTTTGACATACGATAAACTCAGCGGCTCGAGTGTCTTATGTTACTAACGTACCTATCAGTCAACTTCTCGGAATTATTTTTTGCACCTATGGGCTTTCAATGTAAAGCTCGGAGAAGACGACACTATATAATACATATGTATACCATATTCACAATATCGGAAAATATTTTTATTCGTCATTTTATTAAAAAAATGTAATGTAAAAACTATATTATATATTTACGCAGCCATTAGTCTGTAAAAAATGTGTCTGCGGTCCGCCAGTTGACCCTTGTCATACACTATTAATCATCTGCAAAGATTTATTATTTTAAATCAAAATTATTTTTCATTGAATAACACAATAATGTTTTGCTATATGATGGAAACATATTTAAAAAAAAATTAGTGTTTAAGTAAATTATACTGTATACCTATATTGTGTGTTTATATACATATAATATATATATATATATAATTTTAAAAATTAATAAATTAACAAAAATACAGCCAATAGGTTAATATATTTTAAATACAAACAACTTATCTATATAATCAATAAATGATATACAATTATAGAAAATAATAAAAATTTAAAAAAAAAAAAAATGAAAATGTTAAGACAAGTATATTATATTCAATTGACAAAAAAAAGTTATGATTATACTAAGTAATACACAATGCAAATGTAGAAGTCTTATTTATTTATAGATACCAAGATTTTTAATGTACACATACAAGTAATAACTGTACTTCAAAAGTAACAGTGCAAGTTAATTAGAAATATTTAAACAGTAAATAAGTATAATCAACAATTTTTTTTTATATTGTAATATTAAATATTTTAATTTAAATAGCAAATATTTTAACTGGTCTACAAATTATTTTGCATATTTTTATTGAAGATTAAATATAATATAGATAGGTACCGCTGTCCGTTTATTATTACATAATATATATATTTGATATCAAAATAGCTTTAAAACTATTATTTGAATTGATTATAATCATTCAATGATACAATTTGGTACATAGTTTATTTAATTATCTATAGTAATTTAAACAATGGTTGTATGCAATTAAACTAATTGCAAACAATTAAAGATGTGCATTAAATCTGGAAAGTTCAAACACTTGACTGGACTGTTAATTTTTATTTTCATTTGAATACTATTGGCATAATTTAAATTAAAAATATTAAAACAAAATAATTAAGCTTGTTTTAGAAAATTGTTAAATAAATATTAAATAATGTTATTCAATTAAATTTTACCTGTTATCATTTAAAATAATTATATTAATTCTGAATTAAAAGATTTTATTTTAAAAGTTTAAATATAACATACCAAATCAAATTTCTAGTAAGTTAGAAAAAATAAATTTATTTTCATTCATTTTTCCATTCAACATTTATAAATAGAATAATAATAATAAATATAGTACAAAGATCAACAAAACAAAAAAAAAAAATGAAAAACTATAATTATGGTTATTTTCTTTGTTCAGTGCTAACTGAAATATTACTTAATAATTAAAAATAGAGATGAACTATTCTGCTCGATAAGTATTAATTAGAACAGAAATATTCGATAGTAAAATTTTTAATTTACAACTTTGTTAAAAAAAAAAAAAAAGATGATGATAATAATAATAATAATAATAATACATACAGACTTGATAAAACTAATTAAGAATATAACAAAATTATTTATTTGTATAATACATTATATGTATGCAATGTGCCACGTGTATGTTTATTGTTTATATATATATAAATATTAAATATATGTATATTTGTGTTTGTATGTAGTATACAGGCTTGAGAAAGATGGAAGATAAACAGTGCTAAATTTAAAGGAAAAAGCAATAATGATGAGAACAAATTTTTCGTAACAAAGATTAATAGCGTATTAGAGCGCCGGAAGATTACTAAAAAAATGTAATATTCAAAGGGGATGAGATTATATATATTATATATAAACTTGAATTATTTTTTGTGACTGTAACATTGACAGAAGTTAGATAAAACTTACAATTTAAACGTCTACAACCATCTTTTTGTGTATATCCGTGTTGCCAACAACAGAACAGAACTCTTCAAAATTAATCTTGCCATCTTCATCTTTGTCCGCAAACAATATAGTTTTATCCACAATTTGCTGAAGCTGAGTATCTTTTAAATTATTTCCAACCATCATTTTCAAAACCTTAAAATAAAAATTATACATAATAGGTAATTATTAAAATAATTGATTGAAAAAAATGGTAGTTTTAAGCAAATGGAAGAAATAAAACTCAATGATTAGATACATACTTGAAATAATTCACCATTTGATATATATCCATCATTATCCATATCATAGATTCGAAACGCAAATCGCAACTTTGATTCTTTGTCTCCCTTAACACTGAATTGAGACACTCCTTGAATAAACTCTGTAGGCAATTATAAATTTTTACATTAATGTACCTAGACACAGACGGGGTAATACCAGAATCCATGCAGACGTAACCAATACCTTTGAAGTCTACTTCACCATTGCCATCTTCATCGAATATGTCTATAACTCTTTGCACAAGAGGGTTCTGTTGAAGTTCAGGCAGTGATAAAAATTCGTCTAAGCTCAAAGCGCCGGAGTTGTCCAGATCGAGTTTGCGGAACCGTTTGCCCAAACGTCTGATTTCGTCGGCATCAACTAACAACAAAAATACAAAACATATTAGTCCCACACTGCACTTGTGCGGGTATGGCAAACAGAAATACGGGTAGGCACTTACAATTTGAGCACAATTCCATCGGAAGCGAGTTTTCATTCCCCTGAAAAGCATTACAAGGCACAAAATTAGTTTATCGTCCGGTACCAAAGCACAGTCTTTACATACCATGTTAGAAGGTGAAATTCAGCAGAGATATTAAACTTAAATACAGTTGTACTAGTAGATAGCAATCCCGGATCGTTGTAATACGAAACGACCACGGATTTCTGTGAGATCTGGTCTGTTTCAGTCTCGTAAAAACGTCGTATGTGTGTGTGTGTGTGTGTGTGTGTGTGTGTGTGTGTGTATTGTGTAGTGCAAGCGAGCGCACGCGCGTAATACGGTAATACTAAATAGTAAATACGTAAAATATGTTTGTGTGAGTAGATATAGTGGGGAGAGCTTTTATTTTACCACTGGGGAGTCTAGGACCACCATCCTCGTCCTACACTCATACCTACATAATAATAATATATGCACAGATTGTATCAAGCATGAACTACTACACAGGACTGGACACTACAGAGAAAATCACGGACACAAAGTTGTACAGGGTTCGTACACATGCGATGTAACTGCACTCTGCCTGTTAGTAGTACGAACTACGTTTTTTATAGGATAACACTAAAGAATAGTGATATTAGTGATAATAACTGATAATAAATTTACTTTTTAATTTTTGAAAAACAATTATTAATAACACAGTTCAAGATAATAATGATACTATTTATAGAATATTATCAGAAAATAATTACTGCTTAAAGAGTGAACAGTTTAAGCATGAACTACTAAGGCGGTATTTTATATAACAAAATATTTCTTATCTCACAGATGGCGCTGTGTCGCATGTGTACCGAATATGTACAACTTTGTGGACGACCCCCTACTCTCCTCCTGCCAATAGTGTCCAGTCCTGTGTAGTAGTTCATGGTATCAAGCAACAAAAATATCGATTTTGATAACACGTAAACAGCTGCAACAGCTACTTCGTGCCCGCTTCTAGGCATCCCTCCTTGGCTTCTGGCCTTGGCTTGGTAATCGGGATTCAGCGCTACCCCCACGGCCCACGGCTAAGATAGTACTATCTATAGATAAGTAAACTAATCGGGCTCCGGGCCCCCGGTCCACAGAATACAGGGAGAATTCAAAATTCAGAATTTACTCTGTGCCCGCCGCCAGGGGCACGGCCTACGACGATGATAACACAAAATAGATAAAAATAATATCATTCACAAATATCGATACCGCGTATACCCAGCTTAGATACCCAGGTACGCAGCACGCACCTCCCACCAGTCACCACCAACTCCACCATTTATTTCTCTCTCGGACGCACTGGGGTATCACCGGCCACGTCTTCTCCGTCCAAGGTATTATCAGGAAACCTTGGTCTCCGTCACTGGTTACTGCCGGTTTACTGGTTAGTGGATACTCCACTACTGCACTACACCAGTTGTTGTACAGTGTACAAGACCGTGCATTGCAGTATAAAATATAAATTGCACACCTTTATCCTCTGAGTACACCACCCGTCCACACCCCCCACCAATTCATTAACAGGTCAACAGGACTTTATCTTCTACCCGCACCACCCAACAACACGCCTCGTCATCACTCATCGCATCGGCGCAGTAACCGTCGACCAAAATACGTTTCTTTTCTTTCTTTCTTTTATCACCGAACGGCCGCCGTGAACGTTACTCTCACGTCGTTTTATTACACATACACACAATCGTACAATCACAAGCGGAAAAATGGCGTCAGGCGTAAGTGCACGTTCCGTATCCGGGCTTATCCCGGCCATCCCGTTGGCATTGCAGTCATCCTGTTGTTTTTCAGACCCTGTACACGTATTTGAACAACTTCCGAGCGTACAAGGCCCTTATAGCGGCCCAGTATAGCGGAGCCGATGTCAAAGTCGACCCGGCGTTCGAATTCGGCGTCACCAACAAACAGGAAGATTTCCTCAAGAAGTTCCCCCAAGGAAAGGTGAAATAAATATAAAATATAAACTCTGAAAGACGGCAGTCGGCCTATTCCCTCCTCAAGTCCTCTCCCCCCACCTTATAGTAACCCGGCGTCGTCTGTGCTGTCTATAAAATAACGAAAAATGTAATAGGCTTTATGTTTTTCCAGGTACCAGCATTTGAATCTAATAAGAAGGAATATCTGACCGAAAGCAATGCCATTGCCTATTTTGGTTAGTAAGGGTATGGTGTCACAAAACACTCGATTCCTTGCAAAAATAAATATTTGTATATTTGAATTGTAGCAACTAGTGATAAATGGTAATATACTTCAAGAATTCAGTGGACATATTATGATGTTTATAATTCAAATTTAAAGCTCTCGAAGAAGCAATTTTACATATATTTAATGTATTAATGGGGGTATTACAAATTTGATATAGAATATCTTAATAAAATGTGTATCAATCTTAATATTAACAGATGAATTCTATTTTTATTTTATCATTGTGCTTCACTAGCTTGAATATACATATGTTTAATGTAATTTATGATCATATTTATGTACTAATATTGTTTGTAATAATTTTTAATTAATATATAATTTAGTATCCAGTGAGCAACTCAAAGGATCTACTCCATATGAAAAAGCTCTTGTACAACAATTTACTAGTTATGCTGACAATGAAATTTTGCCAGCTTCTTATGCTTGGGTATATCCTTCTCTTAGCGTTGCCCAATTCAATAAATCGGTAATGTTGAATCATATTATAGCATAATTATTTTAAATTTTTCATAAATATAATTAAAATTTATTTTTAGTCTGTTGATAAAGCTATTGAAGACGTCAAAGGGATTTTGGAGTACTTGAATAATTATCTACTTACAAAGACATACTTAGTTGGTGAGCGCATTACATTGGCCGATATAACTGTAGCCTGCTCATTACTACAATTATATCAGCATGTTATAAATCCAGTATTCAAGTAAGGAAATATGTTTTTAACTATTTATAACCTCAATCAAAGGCGAATTATTCAATTAAAATTTGTTTAGTTCGTAACAAAACGAGGTAAATTGATGTATTACAAAGTATTGATCTGATAGTTTGTAATCACTTATCAGGCGGGCCTATGTAATCAACACTTAGCTTTTTAATATATTTAATTATACTTATCCATTTCACTAAAGTAATCCTTATTTTGTTTTGGTCAAACATTTTAAAGATTAAACTTTTTTAGGGAACCATACATATGTTTTTAACTATTTATAACCTCAATCAAAGGCGAATTATTCAATTTAAATTTGTTTAGTTCGTAACAAAACGAGGTAAATTTATGTATTACAAAGTATTGATCTGATAGTTTGTAATAACTTATCAGGCGGGCCTATGTAATCAACACTTGGCTTTTTAATATATACAATTATACTTATCCATTTCACTAAACTAATGCTTATTTTGTTTTGGTCAAACATTTTAAAGATTAAACTTTTTTAGGGAACCATACACCAATGTAAACAGATGGTTTGATACCATTGTTAACCAACCTAAAGTAGTTAAAGTCATTGGAAAATTTGAGTACTGTCAAAAGACTCCTGAATTCAACCAAAAGACCTACTCTGAACTCCAAGGTGGATCTGGAGAAAAGAAACCACAAGCTAAAAAAGAAAAAGCACCTAAAAAGCCAGCAGCCCCCAAAGAAGTGGTTCAAGAAGAAGAACCTGATGCAGCTGACCTCATTTTAGCTGCTGAACCCAAGTCCAGCAATCCTTTTGATGCTTTACCTAAAGGGTATGTGTATAACATACATTTATTATGTATAGTTATTTAATGTAGTGCATTTTAATTAGAACTTTCAATATGGATGAGTTCAAGAGAGTTTACAGTAATGAAGAAGAATCTAAATCTATTGCTTACTTCTGGGACCACTTTGACAAGGAAAATTATTCAATTTGGTTTGGTGAATATAAGTACAACAATGAACTACAGAAAGTGTTCATGAGTTGTAATCTAATCTCTGGTAAGATAATTTATTAAACATTATATAGTTATGCTCCGGCCCACACGAGAGGTGTACAGTTTTGCGTATGCAGACTGAGTGAAGTCAGTGATTATCATCTTAAGCCATGGTTTTGTCACCTCCATTCCTGGCAGTTTCTCTGTAAATAGTGTGGCATTGTGTCGAATGTGGATACACTAAGTTCTAACACTGATTACTTCTCTTGTGGGTAAGAGTGTACAATTATCGAATATTGTTACTCAATTTAAGTTGGATATACAACTGATCAACAAATATTTTTTATGTTGAAAAAGTATACTCCTCTACTGTATTTTTAAATTTAAACCAGGGACTGCAACCTTACCAAAAAAAAAATTGTTTTGGAACTACGGAACCTTTTGAATATTGGAAACTGGATCCTCACCAAAACCCTTATTGATTTTAATACCGAAACCCTTATTTAAATTAAATTAAAAACTGGAATTTTGAAAGAGTCTTGCATTAAGCGACATTGATGAGCACATATTTTACTTATTTAGTTCCCTGTAAATATTAAGATGTCTGGTTAAAAATTGATATTGACATGCCCCAATTGACAATACTAATATTTTGTTATAATTTTTAAAATATTAAAACAATAAAGATCCGAAAACCAAATATTTGTTTTTTAGGGTTTCAACTCTAGAAATTGAAAAATCATTGTCTTACTTTTTAACAAGGTTGGTAATATACGTGTATAAAACGTTTTATACGTTACACGTATTATACCCCACGTATAAAACTAATTAACGCCTAAGACATACTAAATTTCCTTAAATTTAGAATAAATTAAAACTAAATTTAAAGTATTAAATCTTAATAGTTAATATTTAATAATCATTTGATTGGTTGTCTTTTTCTTCTATTTTGAGCGAATAGTATACTGCTAACAACTTTTTTGAATGTTCAGGAGATAATCTGTTTCGCAAATTATTATGTATATAAGACCAATTTGAAAAAACTCTCCAACTGGGCTGTCGATGCTGGTATGCTTAATAGTTTGTTTGCAAAATCTGCTAATTCAGGATGTTTTTGTTTAGCAAAAGACCAAAATGAATTTGCTGTTAAAGTATCTTTTTCAAATAAAATGCCAAATAAATTTTTTTTTTCTTTAAACTCAATAAAGCTATTTAAGCCATTTGTACCAATATCAGTTGAGTTTAAAATGAAATTTTCAACAATGTCTTTCTGCTCAGGTGACATTTTATTGTGTTTTTGGTAAATTGGATGTAAATAATTGGCGGTTAATGAATATTCATTTAAAGCATACTTTTGTCGCTTTGCAATATAATTATTAAAACTTTCAAATCCACTAGGTATTTTGCTAGGTAGATTTAACCATAATTCTGCTGCATCAGCAATTGATGTTTTGCTTTGTTGACAAATATTAATAAGTTCACATACGGGATCAAACAGGTCAATTGAATTGGATAAATTTTTAATAAAATTACTGTCGAATAAATATCTGTGCACCTCACCATCAAACTTATGTTCACTAGATGCCAAAACGTTTTTCATAGCTGGAATCTGAAGGTTTCTGAATGATAATAGCTGTTCGATGCAGCAAAAAAAAAAAAAAAACTTTTATACACACGTATAATACGTGTTTTATACTGTACTGTATTATACGTTCCAACCCTGCTTTTTAACATTGTAATAACTCTCATTGGTATTCAAAATTTAATTTAAATGTTGTAAATTAATATTTTATGATTATTAAACTTTTAACTTTATGTAGAAAAATACATTATATCATTAAATTGGTTGCGAATATTAGTGATTTTACATCATCTACGTTTATGTTTAATTATTATTTATCTAATTTACTCGTGCAGCCATTGATATATCAAAATTAAAATATACAATATTTTCGTCGTTACCCTAAAAAAACCTATGGGCCAAATTTGTGATTTTGGGATATTGGTATCCCTAGATTTAGAAAAAATAGTTAGTCATTTTGATAAAAACTCCAATGTGCTATCTCCATTGTAGAATTAATGAAATATATATTAATATGTGATTAAAAATTTGATCAAAATTACATTGGAGATATTGGTATGCAGAGTAGATGTAGTGTCGTGTATATGAAATATGCACATGGGAGATGAATAAATAAATGACATTAAAGTTATTTTGTTTTATTATGCTTTTTTATATAATATTTATTTCTTAGATAACAACTTAGTTTTTTTTTATGAAATCATTCAAAATACGTAATTCTCTGGCACCAACTATTATTCAAAGAACCTCCTATGTGATGAAATATTGACAATTTGTACAATAAATACATATTAAGTATTTTAGTTCAATTCTTTTCAGAATAAAAATTTATAATTTTTTATGTTTTTTTAAATGTATTTTCATTAATCATTGATGATTTGTGATTTTTTAAAACGTTTTTGTCTCCTGAAGAATAAGGTTTTGGCACATTGGAGGTTTTAGGGTGGCAACTATGACATATTGAGTACATTTTATAAATATTAAAACCGGAACCCTTTTTAGTTTTAGAGTTTATTTTCTAATTGCAAATAAAACAATGATTAGTTCTGAAACTTATCCTACTGAATACTCATGTATTAGTGGAAGGACATTTTACTTTTATAAATATATAAAATTGTATCAATTTTTTTTTATCATAGAATTTTTCATTAAGATAAATTATTTTTATAGGAATGTACCAGCGATTGGATAAGATGAGAAAGCAAGCTTTTGCATCTGTATGTCTCTTTGGTACAGAAGGAGATAGCACAATTTCTGGTGTTTGGATATGGAGAGGACACGATCTTGCATTTGAAGTAAAAAAATTGTTGGTGACTCAATTTAATAATATATTAATTGTTATTGGTTTTTTTAGATGAGTAATGATTGGAAAGTTGATTATGATGTCTACGCATGGAAAAAACTGGATGCCAACAGTGAAGAAACAAAGAAAATGGTTAATGAGTACTTTGCATGGACTGCCAAGGACAAGGACGGCAGACCCTTCAATCAAGGAAAAATATTCAAATAAATACTCGTTACTTTATATCTAACATTGATCATATTTAATAATATAAAAAAAAATGAAACAACTGTTTTTATTTTATATTTTTCCAAGTTTAATTTGAATTCTTTCTAGTCCTTTCCTGAAAACAATAAGATAAGACTAATGAAATAGTGATGTGTATTAGTTAAGTGTACTTAGGTATTAAGAGAATGTTAGTGCACTATTTGTTTTCTCTCTGGACAAAATGCAGTCATTTTTTTTATGTTTTTAAATAATCTTAAAAGTAAAATCATCCGTTACAAAAACGATAGAAAATAATATTTTTGAGGTCATATCATATTTATTTATTAATTAATATTGTCTCAACCAATCAACATTTAAAACATATTTTATTTATTTTGAGTCAAATAACAAATAAACATAAAATCAATGTCCTCTATAATTTTTGTAATAGGATCACAAAAAAAAAAAAAGATTTTTAGATGTAAGCATATCTAAATGTTGCATGCGAGAGAACAAATATTGTATATAATATCCTCATAAGAGGATATCAGCACAATATTTTTTTCTCAAACTGGTGGAACAGATAAAACGCAATCTTGTTGAGACATTCTTTCCTATGTAAATAAACACTCATTTTTGTAATGATAGATGATTTTACTCAAACAAAAGTTAAAATAATTTTTTGTTTTTTTTCTGTTAGCCAGAAAGAACAGAAACAGCAATGTACTTTCATACTATACTCTGTGCCACGAGATAAGTTATCCTCTACATACCAATAGTTTTACTGAGTAACGTTGCCAACCATTGATGGTCGTTTTCGTGCAATACTTACATGTCAAATAGGTGGGTTCGATCGCGATTTGGTTGGGAAATGGGTTACTTCTCTCGTGGCAGGGAGTATAAACTTATAAGTTATATGTCTAATTATATCAATAATATTAGATTGCAAACGGACAGTTATTTCAACCAAAATGTACCGATCTTTTGTCAATCATACCCACAGATTAAGATGTCTTAGTCACAGTCGCACACTAATGATCACTTACTATCCACACAATTTTTAAAATTGCCTATTTTGAATTCCTTAAAAACTGTCAGTTTGCAATCCCCCTCCCCTTAAGTGACATTTAACATTTGTATAAAATATTAAGATAAAAAAAGGGTAATACCTAAGAGTATAATCCGAGCCAATGCCTCTTTTCCATTCGACTTTTTCTATGTGTGCTACAAGTTTGGGTAAGAAACAGGTAACAAAATCTGGTGAAATGGTTATCAAGTAATCAAAAAATTCGAAGATTAATTTTGAAGAAAATGCTAAGTGTTCTTCACAAAGAGTATTCAGTGATGACATGACTTCATTTCTAAATAAAAATATAGTTAATATTTAGATATAGGTAACAACAATAAATAGTGTATACTTGATTTCTTCATTAGATTGTGATACACTTAAATTAATAAATGTGTTGATTATTTCATTGGTAATTCGTTTACAAATATTGGTTTCTTCGCAAAACATTGATACCGAACATATTCGCATTAATGTATGTTGAATTATTGATTGAATCACTAATTTATTGTTATGGCTTATTTTTATAATACTATTTATGTACTCTAAAACCTGTAAGTAAAAGATTATCAATAAAATGTAATATTTTAATTTGTGGTACTAAATGTGATATAATATACTTGTGCAACGCTGCTGTCCGGTGTTCGGTGACGTTTGCTTAAAAATGTTGATACAAGTAATTCTAATAACAAGGCACGTTCAGGAATTTCGTTGTCTGGTTTTTCTTCAAAGAATTTTAATAATGGCAACTCATCTGATGATTTGATTCCAACCAAAATTTTTGGGAAATATAAAGAAATCAGTTCACGGAGACAACGAGCTATATACAGATCTGTTTTTGGGTCTATAAATAAATAAACACAATTGATCACTAATAATACTTATTTAGACATACAATATCGTTGATGCCTTGGAAACAAATCTGTTTTAACTCTCATACTAACTCAGGCGAAACAATCCTATAAAGTAACGATGTAAACTAGATAGTAAGGCAGTTATGACACTTGGATGTATTTTGGTATTGGGGCTTCTCAAGTTTACACTCAGGAGCATGGAATCCAATAATTCTTGTAAGATAGTATTTGGTTTACCCTTAAAATAATAAATGATTTTTTTTTTTTGAGTTCATATATTATTAATGAGAATGAAATGGTTCTCACTTTAACATAAATTAATGGTGAAATTTTTTCAAACACGTAACCAATAACCATATATAATCTATATATCTCGTCATTTTGTTTGTGTTGTTTAATTAAAATATTCACCCATATTTTGATACTATAAAAATAGTCTGATACTTTTTCACTCATCTTTTGACGGAATTTTACATCCTAGAAATTATTATAATATAGTAATCATTTTTATTTAATTTTTTTTATGAATATTCTAGGTATTTGTTAATAAAATATCTGTAGTAATATTTAAATGTTAAATACAGTTTCAATTGTAAGTTTAAAATATATATTTGAAATTTAATTTATAACAGTTTATGAAAAACAACTTATATTTAACATTTTTCCTAGGATAAGATAAAATATATTTTTAATTTACTTGATTGTGATGATACTTTATGCTTAGTAAATCTAAAAATGTGATAAAAGGATCCACACTTGTTTCCAAATCATTTCCCGAGTTTTTAAATAGTTCTTTAATTTCGCTAATATTTGAAACAAATTGAGTAATGGTCACTGTTTCATTAAATGTCCAGTTTGTGATTAACATAGAACTATGTAACCACGCCTAAATAGTATAAATATTATGTCATATTAAAAAAAAAAATATATATATATACCATATATTTTAACCCGTTGTATTACATATTAGTAATAAGTAACGAGGATGTTTATGCACTAAAAAGTATCAAAATAATATGATATATTATGTAGTAAAAATCGTGAAAATATGCAAGAAAACAATGTGCATTTGGGTAATATGGTAAAAAGTGCATGATTTTTATTGGATAATTATTGTTATTACGTTTATAAATTGATGAGGTATTAAATAATTTAAAACAAATGAAATAACTTGTAATAAGGTATCTGTTAAATGAACTTATCTTTATTCCAATAATAAATTAGTGATTAAAAATGTATTTTTGAATTTTCAACTAAACAAAATATTAATTAATCTATTTTTTTAATTTTTGATATACAGGTGTCCCGTGAGGATTTACTCATTGCGATATCTCCTGAAATAATAGAGATATCGTAATTCTGTTTTCTTATTAAGACTCACAGAGGTAAGCACTACAAATAACTAATTTTTTTTTTTTTTTTTTTATGTTTTGGTAAAAAAGTTAAAAAAATTATTTTTTAATTAATTATTTAAAAAAATATTGAAGCTTGCCATTTTGTAGAGTTCATTTTTCTGAAAATATTGACGTTTCAACATTTTATTTCATTAATTTCCTGATTTTATAATTTATTTGTCAAAATATACACAAAATCCAATAACCATTAAATATGCAGTAATATCCCAAAAAAAAAAAATTTTATAAGTTTCAAACTATTATGATTTGTAAAGATTACTAGCAAAAATCCAAAAACAAGAAAATGAAAAAATATGAAGTTGCATAAAAATCCGCGCTTTGGTAATAACTAATAAGTAATAACAACTAATTACAAAATCATAACTTAAAATTAGTCCAAAAAATGTGTACTTACTTTAATTAGAGCTAAACTGTTGTATCCATGAACATTAGCAATGACATTTTCTTTAATTATAGTTGATAAATATCGGTTAAGCAACCTGAAAATTTACAAAAAAATGTATACCAAAATAGAGAGATACAAATTATTAGGTATTTTCAGCTATAAAACAATTACTTTATATTGATTCCTTGATTTACAACAAAAAAATTGAATAACATCACTTTTGTATCAGAAAATGCTGGTTTAGATGAAATAATTGTAAATGTCGCGGCAATATCTGCTACAATTGTACCACAATCAACTGTTAAACATGACTTCTTTAAGAACGGCAACAAGTAGGTGTACAATGAGTCATAAAGTATAAACATTTCATTTTCTATAAAAAAAAAAAGAAAATATAATACTTTTTCTGGAAACATAACATAAATCAAGTTATTCATTTTTAAAATATTTGTTTTAAACATGTCTATTCACACTAAGCACATTATTCAAATCTGAAATAATAATTTACTTTTAACCAAGAATTTCCAAGCCATACTCTGAGCCACAAGAGAATGCTTCTACTTTCCAACCAAATTGTGTTTAGTCCGCGTATTTGACGCCGAAAACCTGGTCTAAGTTCGCCTCCGGCAACCACCAGAGTTAGCAGTGACCTGTTATACGGTAACTGGTGGCTGCCTGGAGGGGGAGAATTGGCCTTTCTACTGGCTTGAATAAAATATTCGGATGCTCAAAGTGGTTGTGTTCTCTCGTGGAGCGGAGTATAGTCATCATATATAAATTTATTTAAATAATAGTAAAGTATTCTGTTCCAAATTATGAAATAAAACATAAAGAAATATTGCCATTTAAAAATCAAAATAAGTTGGGTTCCCACTTTCACAGACAAATAAATATAATAAATAATAATGAATATAATAAGTATAATGTAAATTGTAGATTGTACTTTTAGATTCCGAGGATAATAGTGATTTTACAATGATGTTTACTTTTTTTTATGCTGTAAACAAAGTTTCTACCAAAAGTAGTGCTTCGATTTCAACATTTAGTATCTTTTTTTTTAGCAAATTGGATCAAGATGATTTTTTTTTAGAGAGGTAATTTTTCGATTTTCTCAATAGTTTTTTAACACCGCTAGAAAACCACCAACATTTATTATTCTAATTTGTTTATCACCATAGAAACAAATAAAATTAAAAAAATTAAATAATTCCCATTAAGAGGTATATTATAACAATTAATGGTTACTTATGAATACATAATATGAAGGTCCTTATATTTTTTTCCGTGCGCTCAGAATCATTTTTTATCAAATGCAATCATTGCATTCAAATCGAAAACTGTAATAATACACTATTCTGTCCGAGGACCGAAAGGACGATGGACAAATTTCCACCATTGCTGACCTACTCTTTTTTAACACAACATTTCTATAACTTATATCTAGAAGTACTTCTTTTAAATTTGAAGCATTAAAAGTATGTATCATTTGAATAGTATTTAATACAATTATTTTGTTTAACCCATACTTATTATATTATAGGTGGTTATTATTTTATTTCTTCAGCATGTTAAGATTTTATCAGTGGATAGATTGTTACAATAAAAACATTGCATTATACTTTTGAATTATCGATCATTAATAGTTAAAATAACGTATAATATAGTATTTTATTGTAATCATGCCAAATATATAGTATAAATATTAAATATAAATGATTGGGTAGATAGCTCTCACTGTTTGTAATTTGATACTTTGTATATTTTAAGAGGACTCTATACCCGCATATGTTGTCTCTGTCTTACAAATGAAAAACATAGCAAAAACTGTTTTTAATGGGAAAGACTGACAAGGCTACAGTAATAACTATGAAACAAATTCACCACATAAAAAGGAGAACTTTAGCTGTAAAATGTCGTTTCTATTTTTTCAATATCAGAACTAGGAAAAAAGTTATTGAAGTTTGAAAAACACAAAAAATAATGGATTTTGAAACAATAAGAACTTTTTTTGTATAAGTGTTATCAAAAAAATAAAAACGATATTTCACAGATAATGTTCCGAACTATATTGTATAACAATTTGGAGGTCTTAACTATCATTACAGCCTGAGTGGTTATATCATATGCAAAACAGTTTTTGCTATTTTGTACATTTGCAAGACAGAGACAACACATATGGGTGTAGCATCCTCGTAAGATATATAATAATATATATGTATATTATAATATATTCATTATTATTATTATATCTATAAAACAAAAAAAAACAGATAATGCCTTAAAAATAAAATATATTACTAGATGTACTTTTGTTTTAAATAATTATAGTTATAATACAATATTACCACGTGGGAAAGGCATGGATTGATCATTTCCTACTTTTTTTAACTTCTCCAGTATTAGTAACACCGTTTGCAAGACTTCATTGTTTTCCGATGGTTTTATTGTACTAAGATAATTTCCAAACCAGGAACCTTCAAAAACAATGTTGAATTAAATTAAATCAAAAAATAATGTATTTTAAAGTTACCAATAAGAGTATGTTGCCCATAAGTTAAGGATTCACTGAATACAAATACTTCTTTAAGACCATCTAAATAGACGGTGATGTGTTCTTGAGATGTAGTATTTAATGTATCTGAGAGTGATGTTCCATATGCAGTCATTGAAGTGTTCCTCTGTGAATGCAATATTAAAAATGCCACAGTGCCTTTCCAATATGTCGATCTAGTATTTGGGTCCAATTTTGATTCAGAAATTAATTTTACAAGATGTTGATATTTAAGTGCCTAAAATATAAAAAAAAATCTACATTATTAAAAGAAATTTTAATACATATTAATTATTTGATTATTTTCTTACTATTTGTGATGTATCATCTGACATAATTGATAATGCCAAGAACAATGTTGTAAAATTATAAAATCCAATATCATTAAATGACATAAGTTTACTTGGTGAGAATTTTGAAAATATTCTACCCTTTAATTGATTCCAATCTTTTGAGTTGTATTTGATGTTTTGTAAATGAAGACCTAACATATTATGTTATTATAAAATTAAAAATGAATTCCAAAATTATGGTATATTAATTATCATTTCCAATTGAAGTAAAATCTATGAATATTGCCTTTTTTTGCATAATATTAATAAAATAATGTTATAATTTTTGTAATATTAACACAAACTTATTTCTCTTGGAATGTTTAAAGTGAATTAAATCTATTCTAGAACGGTATTTAAAAAAAAATATAATTTAACAATTTTAACTAGTAAAAAAAGGAAGTTACATACCAAGTAATCTTTGAAATAATTGAAAACTATTGTAATTAGATAATAGATCAGTTTGTTGAGCAGAAAATAGATTGTTCATCTGAATAAGAAGTTCCGAACCATTTTTACTAAAACATCAGATATAACATGACAATTAATACTTATTTATTTAATACACACATACCTATATATTTTTTTATTACCTTATACAAGCAATATTCTGAATCTTTAAGTCTGAAGAATAAAATGTTGAGTTTAGTCTTTTATGAAAATATTCCCACAATATAATTACTGGTTCAGTATTTAACGACGATATTACAATATTTTCCAATAAACAAACTGATAATTTTAATTGAACTTCATTAGGCTCATTATTAAGAAATTCCTTAAGAATGGACACCAAACCACTATCTTTCAAATCCTAGTTAAAAAATAAAAATAAAATAAAGATTTTGTTTATTTCCATAGTCTAATTTTAGTAAAAATAATCAAAATATTACGTTGTGTTGTGATGTGTATAAATCTATGCAATAATATTTTAAACAAAAAACACAATATTTAAAGTATCTAATAACAATATATCGAGAAATTTAAATTTAAATTTATTGATAAAACATTTCTTGCCTATTCTTCCCATTCTCTTTGAGTGCTGATCTTTATCCATTCAATTATTATATTAATTTTTCTCTGCTTTCTTCTTTTAATGTCTGCAGAAAGAACAGGTGTTGAACACCAAAAATACTTCATTTGCCGAAAAACTTACAGTAATTTTTCTTACTCTATCTTTACCTGCCATATTAACCTAATTCTAGTACCTAACTATCTAATATTTTTAAATAACATATTAAGCTTCATTTTATTTATTGTAAAGTCTAATTATTGTACCCAGATAAAAGAACACCACATATGTTTACTTTACAAATGACAAAATGTTAACATGAAAATTTAAGGTGACTTTCTATAATTTGAAAAAAAATATGTTATTATTAGTTTTCAACAATGTTATAGCTCAACAATATTACATCAAATTAAATACAAATAATTAAGTATACAAAATAATAAATTGTAAGTTATATTAGTAAAATTGATAGCCAATCTATTAAGATACTTAGGTATCAAGGTAGTATCTGGAGCCCCGGTCCAGGGCCCCCTGAAATTTCTTCAATATGTCTTATTTTTAACCAAATATCAAAAAATAAATTCAATAAAATTACAATATATGTGTTTTGGACCCCCTCCCTAAAAAAATGTCTGGATACGGCCTTGCTAGGTGTACAATTGAATTTCTCTATATCAAGAAAAAAAAATTTATTTTAAATGCTTCATTGCTCTCTTATTATTCTAAAATCATTTGGATCATTATCTTAAATGAAAGGAAGAATTTTAATTCTATATATTAATTATTAACTGATGGTAACAATCAAGTTAACTTATATCATTATTAATTATACACTATTGAGTATTTATATGCAGTATTAATGAAACTTACTATTGATGTTGATTTTTCAGATTGTTGTAAACTGTTTAAAAGCCATAATCGAAAAATAAGTTCATCACAATCAACGTAATTGACATTTGTTAAAGCTGTGTTGAAATATTGCCAGAAGTTCTAATAACAAATAAATGGAAATTGTATTGCTTCTATCAAAATAATGGTTAATTAATGAGCTTACATCAGAGTTGTATAGTAATTGTTGTTTATTAATTAAACACTGTAAGAGTACCAAAAAGTCATAGGTGCAATCACAAAGTAATGCATCTTTGAAATGGAGATCTTTGAGTTGTAGCTATGATAAAATATAATAAGGATAAAATAACAATGTTGATCATTAACAAAAAGTATATAAAACAGCACCAGTTTACTTTTTTAAATCTATTTCTTGCTAACTGTACTAAATCATTCAAAGCATTATGTAAAGAATGTTTAAAAGTATCTTTACTTTTGGGTAATTCTGAAAGCAAAGATAATTGAAACCATCTTATATCCAAATGGCAATGGTATAAGTGATAGTAAATGTTATTCTGTAAATACAAGAAGAAAAATATACATTTTAATATTCATTAATAATTTCAAATAGAATAAATTACAATGTAAGACATTGATAATTTAGGGTGGATGCAAATCTAAAGTCTATACCTTTGCATTTATATAAGAAACATTGTAAATATTAAAGTTATTTTCTTTAACATCTTATACACAAATATTGTTCATAGTACTTTCAATACCCCCTCAGTTTTCTATGCATATGAGTATATGACACAAACTACAAAGTAATGGACAAATATTTTTACATTATGTCGTCCTACAGAATTTGTATGATAATAATACAATTTGTTTGTTCTTTTATTTATTTAGATACTAGATAGCAAATTCAAAAAAAAAATAAATATATAATAATGAATAGCTAGTTTGTTAAAAATATAAATTGCTATTTAATAGTGAATGAATGTAGTTTTTTAATTTGTATGAGATATATTGAGCAACAATTGTTTGGCCAAGTACCTACTTATTTTTATAATTTAGGTAGTAGAAAAAAAATATTTATTAATTAAATGACAATATACTAAAACATTTTACTTTGCAATCAGATGAAGAAAGTGCATGTTGTATAATGGTTTCAGATAAATTATGAAACTGACCAAGTGATGAATATAAATTATTTAGTTCTAATTCAATTTTTTTCTCGTGAGATTCCATCAACCAATTATAACTTTCATATGCCTTCATTCTGGAAAAATAAAACGAGTTACTATAATCCTATTCATGTTTATAAAATAAATAAATTACCTTTGAAGACCGTCTCTTAAAAAGATAAGAAACTCGGAAATTTGATGTCTAATATCAGAAAAATTAATTGGTTTGCAATTGCTTTGATCATGAGTTCGGAATGTCTTATATTGATCTCGTACAACAGAACTTAAGCTTAGCAAATGTTTTCTGAACATGAACATAGTAATTAAGAATTTGTAGTAACAATACATTAATTTCAAACATACTTTGCCATTCTGAATAGTATAGGAATATCGTACACTAAACTATTACCCTTATGGAATGAATTACCAAACAATACGTAACGGTCTGATTGATTTTCATCATCATTCAAAATATAACTATTGAAGTTCTGTTCACTTCTTACAAATCGTTCATTTGAAATATTCGGTTGTCCTTTGCAGTTAAAACAATTAAATGACATGGTAGACTGATCTATAAGTTAACACATTAAAATATTAAATAAATATATATGTTAAACTATTATTATTACTGATCAAATACATTGAATATATTATACAAATATTTTCGTAGTTTACTTACTGTCATTTTCTATACCGCGACCTGTTGAGAACAAATGCATAATATCGCAATGATGTTAAACGACGAAATTAGTAATGAACTTAGGTAGAAACTGATATGCAACTCTCGGACCCTCTTGACTGTCCTCTCCAGTGTTGACACTCTCCACTGAATAAGCACTTAATTAGAAATTAGAAAAACAGGAAGAAGGTAAAATCATATTGTTCTACGGTAAAATAGTACACTATTAAACATTTACACTAAATAGAACAGATTAACAGAATATTAAATATTATTGTAATTTGTATATTTTATTGTTATCAGTTCCTTTGAAATGTCATCTTCGTACGAATCACATTCTGGCGGGAAAATGTTAGTTCAAGACGTGACCATTGTACCGCTAGTTGTAAGTTTGTAACTATAAATAATATTTGTATATATATTTATCATTGATTAACAATAATATCATATTGTTCTGTGATAATATAAAGTGCTTTTTTTTTATTCCATGAATACACTTTCACACTTTTACTTCCAGTTTTGATTCTAGTATTCCACTCATTTTTAAAAACTGGATTTATCAAAACTCTAATTATTAATAACTATAATAATATAATATTAAATTTATAATTATTAGTCAAAAATCAAAATTGAATAAACAATGTTTCTATGCAATGTACATATTATAATAATATCATAGTAAAATAATAATAAAAACCATAAAATATTATAATAATTAAATAGAGGAAATTGCAATGTTAAATTATTAATAATAAGAAAAAGTTCTAATAACAAAATAATATATTATAATATTATAATAATATCATAATGAAAAATAATATAATAATAATACTTAGAATGTGACTAAAAGACCACAAATTAACCGGTTTCAGTTTAGTCTTCCACAGTAAGTAGAAATACGAAAAGTAATGTTTTCGTCCTCAAAGACCATGAATTAACCGGTTTCAGATCGGACTTAAACTTACAGGGTGACGCCAAAAGCAAACATAATATCACGAGTTAAAACCCTTTATTAAAATATATAAACACACACAAAATTAATAATCAAACGTATCTCGCAGTATTGACATACCACGATTGCCCTCACTTACTATTCTTTTCGTCTTTTATCTATTTTACAATTTTAGCTGCCTCAGTACATTTGCTTCACTGGCCTATATTACAAATATGATTATATTATACTGTTTATACATATAGTCACCTATTACTACACTCCTAAAAATTTGGGATGATCAACTATGACTTCAATAATCAATACTATTTTAGGTAGGTACACTGTATAAAAAATTTTTTCAGCTCTAAAGATATAGTACTAATATAGTAATATACGTTTTATTTTATCACCCACCTCGCTGTGTCCGCAATCTACGGTATTGTATTTTAAAACCAATATTGCATATTTAAATTAGATATTTCTTGATAGAAGGCGCGACTATTGTATTCTTACAACCTTTTATTTTCCTCTATAGGGGTTGAATTTTCAAAAATCCTTTGTTATAGGACGCTTTCATCATAATAGCTATCTGTATGACAAATTTCATCCAGATGCTTCCAATGGTTTGAGCCAGTGGCGCCAAACCTTTCTTAAACCACTGGGGTAAACCTTGTTTAAGGGCACCCACCTACCTATCTTTTATACATAAAAGCAGTCACTCATGACCCACCCACCCACCCCCCCCCTCATCAACTAAAAATGTTCTGGGGTATTTACCCCACTTGCCATATGTGTTCGGCGCCAATGGTTTGAGCTGTGCGGTAATAGCACAGTCAGTAGTCGGCTTACTGTTTTATATATACAGATAATACTACTTGTATATATTAAATTGTTTTATTTGTTTTACATCATATAACAATTTGTAAATTTTTCTTATATTCTTTTTTTATTAATTTAGATATTGAAACATATTTTGAATTTTTATGTTTATTAATAATTTGTATATAAAAACAATGTAAGCAAATATTTTTCATTTCGAAGAGAATATTTGGAAGTTTTATAAACCATATAAGCATCATATCAGTAGATTAGTAAATTAGATAGTACCCATCATATTTAAACTTTCATTGAATAAAAAATGCCTAACCCTCATCATATTTAATAAACTTATGAACCAAAATGTATGATTTGACAATCAAAATTTAAAAAAAAAGCTCTTGCAGAATCATTTAAAACTGTAAGCACAACAGTGAGCCCAAATAATTTTAAATTATCATAAGAAAATTTTTGTTTATAACGAAAAATTTTCTTTAAATTTAATTTAGGTAATTTTAAATCCTCATAAAACAATGCATACACCACCTAAGATTTTATATAGAATATAAAAATTATATATTTTCTAATTTTCAAAGATACAGTTTATACATATTGCTTATTTAATTTTATTAAAAGAAAAATAAATATAAGTATATTATACCTTACATATAAAATATATTACTAATAATACCAAACAATACTTTCATTGTAATATAATACATAGATCAGGATGGTCCAACTTTTTATAGTCGGCGGGCCAATTTACAGATTCATAAATATACTGGGGGCTGCCTAAAGAAAATAAAAAATCTCTCACCACGAGAATTCAGATTTGCTGTGGCTACTATACAAACACAATACTTACATACGTATGTAACAAGCTGAATTTAATTATAGTTTTAGACATTACTCATTGCACGTATACCTACGTTTTAAAGTAATTTTTAGTTTTTTTTTCTGGAAAAAGTTATTTTTATAATATAACCTTCTAGGGTTCACGGGGTGCCTCCCGTCAATCAAATCACATTCAATTTACTTATTGTTTAACATGGAACTAAAGATTGTAAACATATACATTTTTGTTCAATTAAAAAAAAAAGTCTTCTAGGGGCCAAAAAAAGACTGAGGTAGCATGCGGCCAGCGGGCCGTAGGTTGGACCACCCTAACATAGATAATACTTTTTGGATTTCTTGTTGTATAATGAAAAATATACTCTTAATTTATATAATAACAAGAAATAAATCTTATTTTATTCATTACAAAAAATGTATAAAAATTAAAAAAAAAAAAACCAGTTATAAAATATTGCTTTGTTCATTTAACTTGTCCAACTTGGCACAATTTGTTTAAATATCCACTGTTGATTAGCATTATTAGAATCACATGGTGTTAATATTACTTGATCGGATGATGGATGAACACTAAGACACTTCCTTGTTATTGAATGTAGTAACAACTTGTTAGTCTAAAAAGTAAATTAATGTATTAACTATAATATATATTACTTAATTTATTGTTTATCGCTTTGGAGTATATAATAGTTAGTCACATTATGGTCTTTTTTTACCTCAATTACGCAATATAGACTTAAAACAAAAACTATTTTATTTTATTCACAATGGTAAATTTTATAAATAAAAACCAATACCTATATTTATTTATTATAAGATTAACACTAAACGGCTTTTACAGATTGGTATACAGTACAAATTAAAACTAGATAAATTGACAGAAGAAAAATTTAATAAAATACATAATGCAATGGGAACGTTATGATTGGCCAACCTAAGCATCCTGTGCATGGGGTGATTGTGGCTGAAGGAAGAGGACTGTTGGATGTAAAAAAAATCTAGCGAAACCACAGCCGCCTACTGTGAGTTTCGCGACCGTGGACGCACGGTATAGATCGCGTCCTCAGGTTGCGGATAGAGGGAAGCCCGGTTCCCTCGGTAGCTTCCGAGTCGGGTAGTCGGTGAATAACTAATAACCGGCCGCGGACAGCTTCGATTAAATGACCCGTAGTTCCGGACAGTATGTCCTCTGGGCCGGTTCACGGTCGCCGGCTGGGCCCCCGACCCAGGCGGTGGTGCTCTCAATATGAGTTGAGAGCACGGGCGCCGGAGTTCGGTCCGTCCAGCAGCCGGGCGTCTCAGCGTAAGCCGAGTTTGGGCATGTCTCCGGGACACTGCGGTGAGTGTTACGGGCTCGCGGCTGATGGCTCGTCTGCTTAGAGTCCCTAATTCGGTAGGCGAGGGTGGTCGTCGCAAAAAGTCCAACCTTTGACTGAAAGGTAGGGCTGTCGTCAGCTTGGGCTGGGCGCCTCGGCTCGGCAGGCATCCGGGTCGGGTCGTTTGGCCAGACTGACCCAAAAGTACGGGTCCTTGCTGATAGATGGTTCGAAAGGGTGGTGGCCGAGATTAATTTCGCACCTCGCGGACGCCCGTCCGCGGTTAAGGCAAACCAATGCCCGTCTTGCCGGACAGAACTGGTAGCTTCGAGGGGTGAAAGTCTGACTGAAGACGCTTCAGTGCCACGGGAGTGAGTGGGGCCCCGTCGGCGACGACGCCGCTCACCGCGGGCGTCCAGTGATGGTTCACGCCCCTGGACGTCCGTTGCCGGTAGGAATCGTGGTGGTTGTATTCTTACGAATACTTTGTGGTTAAGTCAATAGATGCTTATTCTAAGTTCTCGCTGACAGGCGAAAACCTCTGATGAACGGCCGCCACGTCCCGGGGGCGCGAGTCACCGGTACGTTGTCGGTTTCTCTCGGGCGTCTAGCCGCTATACCGGTGTAGTATCATCGGAGGTTGAGTGTAACCAGAAACACTCGGTGTGGGGATAGCGCACAGCCAGACCAGGCGAACTCAGGCGGCACTTGGCCTGTCTTCTTGGTACGGGACATCGGTCCCGGTGCTCGTGGTCCATAGACGACGCGCGGTCGGCGGACTGCGCCACCGTACGTCGACCGTGAACCTCTGCGGCTCTCGACTAGCGTACAACGCTAATGTGAGGTCCGTGGTTGTAGCCGCAAGGCGCCAAAACCCGGGAGTCTTCGTGTTGGAATGTAAAAAGAAGCGTGATTTTAAACATTGTGAGAGGCGACTTTAAACAGGAATCTCGATAGTAGATCCGGTGGGTCGATAGAGTTGTGAAGAAGAGCATGAATGAATTGTAAATCAACATCACGATTGCGGCATGAGCACAAAGAGAGTATATTTAGAAAATGGCTAATATCAGAATAGTTATGATTGTAAATAAAACTAGCGTAGAAAAAGAATTTATGCTGGAC